GCTAGAAGCAATTTGTCTGCTGATCACAAAAGGGTGTGAAAAGTACATGAATATTCCCTTTTCCTTCCTATTCTTAAAGACAATGTAAACTGCTTGCACATATACTGTATTATACATGGCAAATTGTACAATATTAAATATTAGCAACTGCAGGAAACCCCAGAGTAGCCCTAGAGCAGCTAGGAAAAAGGAGACAATTACTTTATATTTGCTTTTCAGTAATTATTTCCTTCTTTAAAAAGGAGGGAAATGCTCTTCCAACTTAAACCATCTATATAAACTTAACACAAATAGTTCTGAAATTCTATAAATCTATTTGAAATTATATTATTTACCCTAGTCAAGAACTTGCCTATTGACTTCGAACAACTCTAAACGATGTTTTCCGGTTCACTTTTGAAATAGAAGTGTTATAACCGTCAGAAACAAGTTGAACCATTTTCTTTTTCAACGTATAGCACAAGACTCCATCATTTAATCATTCCAAGTGCTTATGATCAGAAAATTAAGGCAAGTTGTAAGGTCTGCATTAATATAAACACTCCAATGACCTCTCATACCCCATGGCAGAGTGAGAACTCAATTTCACATTAATAAACCCTAACACCAAACTGTTAGAAACTCAAAAGACACCCGGTATTACAACTTACATAAATTACAGCCGAGATCAAATGGCCCGTACAAGCAATTGTACAGTTATAAAGCCTAAGTGGATGGTATTTAAACAGATACTTGATTTACTGCAGAATTTTATATCATGCTAGAATTCATATGACAATTTACAAGTCCAGAGAAAAGAAATCCCTGTCCCACGCAAACTACTGTTTGCAGCAGTGCTTCAGAAGTGCTTAATATTGTAACTTTAAGAAAGAAATTCTTCCCTCTGATATTCTCAGGACACAGTCTTAGAAGCCAAACTATAAAACCTGACATTTAAAAAGAGAATGAACAAGCTGCTACTTCATCCCCAGGTAGGAAATAACATCCTCAGTCTTCTGTGAGTTAAATCTCATGAACCTAATCTTTGCAATCTAATACAGCTGGCTGTGGTTTTTTCCATCAGAAAAAAAAAAGCTCTGATGCCAAGTTTGAGGATCTGTCTCTCCAGTTCTTTAAAGATGTACAAACTGCAAAGACTGGAGGACAGCACCATCTCTCATAAATGGCAGCAACACCACTAGTTAATATTGATCTGCTTTCCATAGGAAAAAACTGCATTTGTACTCAAGTTTGAGATGCCTCACAACAGTACTCCCGGCCAGCTTTTCCTTGATTCCTCAAAAGAGTCCTGCTCTTCTAGCCAAGAGAATTAGCAGAAGAAAAAGAATGTAAGGAATAAAGTAAGAGCTGAATTTGCAGAGGAGGAACTGTGCAGATGCACATTCTTGAACCAAACTTCAACACCTGAACAGGTTACGAATGGCTCCCCTGAGACCAGACAACCCTCTTATTCCCCAGTAGTGAGGAACTATAGATAATTCCGGGTGAAAAAAATGATCCATCAAGGAAAAGATTTATCAAAGAAAAAAAATTGCAGGCTTCCAATGTGATCTAGGAAAACCTCTTGGCCAATAGTTGCAGCAGCAGTAATTGTTCTAAATCTATCAATAAAGCTAAGCTGCTCCTTCATTGACTGCAAACACCAATTTCTTTCATGTAGGATTATAAGTTGATGTTCATGGTCTCTCTACTGCCATTAGGGTGATAAACAGTTTAAACTGCATCAGGATCTGACATGTAGATCAATTCTGGGTCCATAAAGAATCTACACAAGAGGTTCCCGGACAGGGATTTACTGCCCCCAGTTTTTATTCTCTCTTGCTGCTAAAATTACTTCTGTCAAGTACTTACAAGAGTAAGGAAAAAAAAAAATGTAAAAAGAATTAATTTTTCATGTGCTGCTGGAACAGCCTTTTTAAATTTCTGAGTTTTTAAGGCAAATATGTTACTGCATTTAAAATTATGCTGAACAGCAGGTGGTATTTAGCTAAATAGTGAGCCAGTCGCATGATCTGCTCACTATCAAGCAGACAGCAATTTGAAACACTGAACTAAGCTGTCTAGATTTTCTCCGAGGGCAGTCACAGGCTTCATGTTACCAGTGCCAAATTATATTAGACATTTAATTTTAAACCTCAGGTACTTAAATGTAAAACCTTACAACAGTAATAGTCATAAAGCAGTGGGGCATTCCATTTCAGAGAATGGATTTTTCTATTTTTCCCCTTTAATTTAACCAGCACCTCCTGTTTTGTGGCTCTGCCCACTACAAAGTAATTTATCTAATTAGGAGATGCTCACAGCTGCTTGAAAGACAGAAGCCCCAGGAAACCAAAGGTCTGGTTTGGAAGACTTTTCAAAGTTCTCCAGAGCCACACAAAGTATTAATTTAATGTGAAAAAAAGGTGCAGAGAAAAATTGAATCCCAATATGTTATTTTGTCTACAATAAAACCATGTGACAATAAGCAGGCGTATTCTCCAGTACATTGGCATTTGAATTCCAAAAGATGCTTAGCTTCTCGCCATACCTGCTGCTTTCACAGTATTATCTTTTTATGACTAAAATTCAAAAATCTTTTAATGGAGGAAAAAAACCCTGAAATTAAAAAGGGTTTTTCATGCGTCAACTTGCCAGCATAAAGGGCACGTCTATGAGCTTACCGAAAGATGATACACTGATAGCAATGAATTATTCTTGAGGTTTTGTAGCAGTTTTATTGCAACACTTCTGTTTCTGTTGACCCTTAGTTGCCTAAAACTCACTGTTAGTCCAATTTTTCCCACATATTTAAAAAAAAAAAAAAGGAAACTTTTCTTTCTTAAATTAGAACCTCTGCAAGCAATGATTCAAGTCAGGCTTATTCAGAACTACCCACCAGTCATCTGCATTTTTTGAATAAATATTTAATAGATAATTCTAGCTGTCGTGTCTTTTGATCCAGAAGTAATCACATATGAACATCAAGTCAGAAAAAGGTACTGCACATACTTGGAGTACAGAGCTCGTGTGGGAGAAAAGGTTCCCTTCACCAGGAATTAAAAGCTAGCTGAAGCATAGCATCAGGAGCAAAAGACAAATCCAGCACATATCTCCAAAGTAAAAACAGCATTATGAAGTAAAGGGGAAGGGAAAGAAGAAAGAGGCAGGAATTTAGGTTATATTTCTACTTTTCAACATATTAATTACATGCCACTTTTAGGAACTCATTGAATTCTGCACTTTGAAGATTTTCCTCTACTGCAGCCTCAGTTGTCACATCTGGTGCTAAGGAGCAAGGGGATGGTATCTGCTCACCTGTCTGTACGTATGTCAAGATGTCAAGAACCAGAGACTACATCTCAGTTTTCACTTGCCTTCCTTCTAGTGCAAACATACAATATTCTCCAACTTTTCTTTGAAGAGCTACAGTATAAAAGAAGGGTGCGAAAAGCCAAAGCTTTGGTATAACCTTTTAAATGGGAAATAAAATTGAGGTGGATTAAAATGACAAAGCAGCTCAGGAAAAGGGAGAAGAATATGTGGCCTTAACTGTGAAACCAGCTCAGTCTAAAGGACGCTGTGTAGGGGAATGCTGATTGCCCTAAAAGACTAACCAGTTTCCAAAAGAGTGGGTGAGTTGGGTGGACACAGAAGACAAAAGCAGTGAAGCATTTTATCATGCTGCTTAGCAGCCACTGAGGCTGAAATAAAGGATGCTTGCTTTAGAAAATTCTTGGTTAAAATCTGTACCATTTTGATGCAAATACCATGTTCCTGAAGATGCTGCCCATGAGTTTAGAGCTCCAGAAATGTACGTGCTTCAGTAACTACAAACTTGAGAGCTAATGCCACTCAGTGCCAAGGTGACCATGATTTTAAACCCTCCGTTCTCATAAGGTGGCACTGAAAAACAGTCCAAAGCTGCTTAAAAGCCCAGAGCCAGTATCAGGGCTATACTCAGATTGAAAACTTATACAGATGCACACATACATATATATACACACACATATACACATCCATAGGACATGTGAAATAGTTTTCATACTCTTATATTCTCACTATTTTAGGGATAGCCATCAGAAACAGCTTTCCTCCCGCCTTCTCCTGTCCTATTCACATTTGTCCCCCTGTTATCCATATTCTCAGTTTCTTCTCAGTTCATTATTCTCTTTCACACACTCATCTCCTTTTCTCCTCTGTTCCATGAACTTTCCATGGTTTCTCCAACTGCCTTTTAGACCCCATGCTCCTGGACACGTGTGCTTCACTGGTATGAACCATCTCGGCAGCACACCACAACAGAAACACCTAAGTCCCAGCCCACCCGCCATGGCTGCTCCAAGGATGCTCTAATTTGCATAGGCAGCAGGTCAGCTATAGGCGAACAGCATTTTATCTCTGTCCTTCCCAGGCTCTCTATCGAGGCCAGATGCACCATTTTGTTACCAAATATCATGCATACCCTTTAAAAGCAACAACCCCTGTCTCACTGTTACAATCTAATCACTGCAAAACACCATCTGGAATAGTGTTTGCTCCTTTTAATACTGTTAAACACTCCACAGAGAAAACACTACAACTATGCCAATAGTGTGCATACATTAAAGAAGAGCACAGCCAAGAAAGGAGATGCTGATGAAAAGATCTGGAGGATAATTTACTGCTAATACCTACCACACAAAGTAAGGAAATAAGAATATCAAGTGAACAACCTATATTATGTACCTGAAATTAAAATTAAGCAGTATTATAATTACGTTAGCTCT